TAGCTAGTAGAGCTATATGACATTGTTCATGCATATGTACAAGTTACAAGTTCAGTCTATCAGGTGCTTTTGTTATTCTAGTAGATCGTCGTGGTGGTGGCACTGGTGCTTGGGTTACAGTGTTATCCACAGTGTTTGGCACTTGTTTGTTCTGAGCTGCTTCTGAATTCTCAAAGCGGGGCTCCTGATCATTGCTTGGTGAATGATTTTGCAAATGGGTGTTTTCAAAGTCAGACTGATTGAATTTCTCTCCTGTTGGACGTATGTGTATACGATTGCGTACATACTGACCACCATTGTTAGTTTTTACAACATAGCTCCTGTTTGGTCTCGTAGAATCTACAATTGCTGGTTCCCATTTGTGACTCTGGGGATGTCGTACTCTCACATGCTGACCAGGAAGTAGGTCAGATAGATTTCTGGCTGACTGATCATATCTGCTCTTTTCTTTATCCTTTTTTCTTTGCATGTATGCATTTATTTCACCGTCATAAGAGGCATGTGACAGGTGGGGTTGGATGGCAGGAAGATTGGTATCATAAGCACGAGAATTTAAGAGTTCTGCTGGCGATGGTATGTTGTGATCTAATGGTGTGCATCTAAGGCACAACATGGCCATATGAGGATCGGTTTTAGCTTCCTTGCATTTAATCAGCAGATTTTTAACAGTTTGAACAGCTCGTTCAATAAATCCATTGGCCTGTGAATAGTGGGGGCTTGTTTGGACGTGCTCGAAGCCATAATCGTGGCTAAATTTCTGGAATTCAGCCGAAGTAAACTGAGTGTCATTTCCAGTGATAAGCTTTCTCGGGATTCCGAATTCTTCAAAGATTGATTTCATGTGAGCAATGGTAGTGTTGGACTGCAAATTGTTCAGCTTTCTGACTACTGGAAATTTGCTGTAATAGTCAGATATGAGCAAGTAACTGTCATTGTCAATGAAAAATAAGTCTGCTCCCAGTGTGTGCCATGGTTTTTGTGGTACGTCGTGTGGCATTAGCGGTTGTTTGACGTTTGCCTTCTGGTTGTGTTGGCATGGTGCACATGCTTTAACCATGTTTTCGATGTCTCGATTAATGTTGACCCAAAATACAGATCCTTTGGCACGAAGTTTGCACTTTTCAGCTCCTTGATGAGCATAGTGTAACTGTTCTAACACTGCTGCTTGAAGCGTTGTTGGGATCAGGATTCTAGTTCCTTTTAGAATAAGGCCATCAAATACTGACAATTCATCACGGTAATTCCAATAGTCGTGGAGGTGCGATGGACACTCTGACCTAGTGTTTGGCCATCCGTTTGTGATGAAGTTTCGAAGAGAGTGAAGTGTCTCGTCCTTGGACGTTTCTTCTCGGATCTGCTTTAGTCTGGTGGGGCTTGCATTCAGCTGCATGTCGATCTCATGCACTGTGACATCTACACCTTGAATGGTGTCACCTTCGCATTTTGACAATCTGGAAAGAGCATCAGCGATTGGAATGTTCTTTCCTGGCACATATTTGATAGTTACATCATATTTCTGAATGCGCAACATCATCCTTGCGATTCTGGGAGGTGCATTGTTCACATGTTTCTGGAATATGGATTGGAGAGGCTTATGATCACTTTCAACAGTGACTTTACGGCCATAAGCGTAGTAATGGAACTTCTCTAATCCATGTACAACTGCAAGCATTTCACGCTCTATGTTTGAATACCGCGTCTCGGTTTCTGTTAGTAATTTGCTCCTGTATTCGACAGGGCGATTGTTCTGCATCAAAGTGGCGCCGAGGCCGCGCTGCGACGCGTCAACCTGAATCGTTACAGGTTTGCTACTGTCAAAATATTGCAATGTTTCTGGTGAGGTGATGACAGATTTGATTTTCTCTACTGCAGCCTGATGATCTGGGCTCCAAACGAAATCATTCTTGCTCTTAGTTAAGTCCCACAGTACTGCTGAAATGGAAGCCAGGTTGGGTATGAACCTGCTGAGGTACTGGGTGAGGCCAAGAAACGTTTGAAGATCGGTGAGGTTGCTGGATGGATCCATGCTGTGGATGGATTCCACTTTCTTCGGGTCAGGTTGTAGACCCTCCGAACTGAGTATGTTTCCAAAGAATGGAATTTCGCTGCATCTGATGTGCATTTTATCTGGATTGAAACGGATGCCTATTTTTCTGGCACGATCCATGAGGAGATGCAAATTCCTGTCGTGCTCCTCTTTGGTTTTCCCATGGACAACAATGTCGTCAATGATTCCTGTAATTCCGTCTAGGTCTCCGAAGGCTTCATCTACCTTTTTCTGGAAAACATCTTGGGCGCATACAAGGCCAAATGGAAGTCGTAGGAAACGGTATCGACCGTGAGGTGAATTGAAAGTGGTGTACAGTGAACTCTCATGGTCAAGTTTAATGTTCCAGTAACCACTACGAGCATCCAGAATTGAAAAATAGCGGGCTCCGCTAAGCCTTGGTAAAATTTCGTCAAAGCTTGGGATTCGATGATGTGGCCTTTTTATCGCGGCATTTAGATCTTTTGGGTCTAAGCACAGGCGTATGCTGCCATCAGCCTTTGTGACACAGACTAACGAATTGACCCAGTCTGTTGGCTCCTCTACTTTAGCGATGATGCCTTTCTTTTCAAGAGACTCGAGCTCCGTTTTGAGAGGCTCACGTAACGCTTCTGGTACACGGCGTGGTGGATGCACCACTGGTGGCACCGAGGGTTCAAGGGTAATGTGATATTCCCCTTTAAAACAGCCAATGCCTTGGAAACAGTCGGGGTACTGTTCCAGAAGTGCATTGTTAGCATTGGAGTGCTGTCTGTCCTCCAGATCAACAGCATAGTAAAGTGTAACTAAGCCTAGTTTCTGGCAGGTGTCTATGCCTAGGATAGTAGGCCCATTGGTTTCGACAACGTGAAATTGATGCTCAGTATTTGAACCTCCATACGTCAGTGTCAAGGTGCATGATCCATAATGAGGTATGCGTTGACCACCAAAGGCTACAATTTTGACGCCAGACGGTTTCAAATTGGTATTACTAGGGCATAATTTGGCATAGTCTTTCTTCGTGATTAGGTTTCCATCGGCTCCAGTATCAACTTTGCACGGAAAAGTGATACTATTTTGCTCAGAGCTGATTTTCAGGTTAATGAAAGCACGCTTGCTTTCAATGCTGCCCACGTATATTGGGCTAAAATATAGCTTGTTGCTCTCTTGTGGCTCACAGTCGNTGATGATGCCTTTCTTTTCAAGAGACTCGAGCTCCGTTTTGAGAGGCTCACGTAACGCTTCTGGTACGCGGCGTGGTGGATGCACCACTGGTGGCACCGAGGGATCAAGGGTAATGTGATATTCCCCTTTAAAACAGTCAATGCCTTGGAAACAGTCGGGGTACTGTTCCAGAAGTGCATTGTTAGCATTGGAGTGCTGTCTGTCCTCCAGATCAACAGCATAGTTAAGTGTAACTAAGCCTAGTTTCTGGCAGGTGTCTATGCCTAGGATAGTCGGCCCATCGGTTTCGACAACATGAAATTCATGCTCAGTATTTGAACCTCCATATGTCAGTGTCAAGGTGCATAATCCATAATGAGGTATGCGTTGACCACCAAAGGCTACAATTTTGACGCCAGACGGTTTCAACTTGGTATTATTAGGGCATAATTTGGCATAGTCTTTCTTCGTGATTAGGTTTCCATCGGCACCAGTATCAACTTTGCACGGAAAAGTGATACTATTTTGCTCAGAGCTGATTTTCAGGTTAATGAAAGCACGCTTGCTTTCAATGCTGCCCACGTATATTGGGCTAAAACATAGCTCGTTGCTCTCTTGTGGCTCACAGTCGTCTTCGCTGCAGGCATGCACTCTATGCATTTGCTGCTTGGGAGTGACGGCGTGTCTGTGTGGCCTGTTTCCACGATGAATTGTGGACTGCTTGTGCTCGGAGCGGCAGCACTTTCTCCAGTGGTTAAGTTTCCCACAGCCAAAGCATGTGGACCCGTATGCTGGGCACAGCTCTCTTTTACTATGGTCAAGTTTTGATCCACAGTTATTGCACTGATTTTCCATTGGGGGGTGGCACTTTGAGGCCATGGTAGAAGTTTCTCTCTTCTTATGTGTCCCTTTAAATGTAGGTTTAGGGCGATACGATTTGTTGTGCTTGACTGCATGGACCTGGGCGTCTCGATTGATGTCTGTGAGTTGCTGCGAGGTTGCTTCCTGAGTTCTTGCAATGTAGATCGCCTTGTCCAATGATAGAGTTTCACCCAATTCCAGTAATTTGGACTGCGTGCGGGCTGATTTGCATCCAGAAATGAGCGTGTCAAGTATTTGTTCATCTGGTTGGGTATACTTGCACTCTCTAACCAGAGAACGAATTCTCTTCAAGAATTGATCTACAGTTTCCCCGTTACCTTGCGTAAGGGTCCTCAGCTTAAATCTGGCTAGTTTAAAATTGCTTTTAGGCTTAACAAATTCTTCAAATTTGTCAAAGTAGGTTTTTAATTCCTTAGATTCATCCCCAGTCAAGTTCCATGTGCTTACTAGGTCTCGTCCAGTCTCTCCAGCCCATATCTGGAGGTACGCAATCTTTTCAGTCTTAGATTTGTTCTTTAGTGGACCATCAAAGTATAACTCGCACATCTGTTTGAAATTCTTGTACTCCTGAACTGCATCGGTAGCATGCCAGTTCATGGCAGGTACTGGTAAAGCTCCCAGCTCCATGTGGAAAGACTTTTTTATCAACTGGTTATCAGCGTTGGCTCACTGTATTGTTATAAAACACAGTCACGTACTTCTGACACCATGAAACAACTCCAAGGAAGGGCTTGACTACAGCAACTAACTTTATTTCTAAGTGTGCAGATATAAATACATTGTGTCTACAGTTCAGAGGGATCACTGCTGTCAAGTGTGTTTATACTACGTACATTAGTGAGAGTGCTATTTAATGATAATTGATGACAGAGGGTTGGGGTTACTATAAGCTTGACCGATAGTGTTAAGAACCATAACACAGGAGTTGGCTTATAAACATATGTATTCTAGTTTGATACATGTACATGCATATATTTTGATAAACATCTCTGATATATATATCTCGATCATCTTAAGATTTGGGTATCCAGACCCAGGGTACCTTCAGAGAGTTCAGGAGGAACTCAAGGCCAAGGGAATTGAGGAAGAGCAAGGTGAAGTTCAGCAACCACCAGGTATGCTAAAATGTACTATGCACATCTCATTGTGATTTCACATATTCATACATGTTCACGTTCAATTTGTTATGAATTTGTGCAGTCTTATGGCATTTAACAATCGTCGAAGATTGTTGTCAAATAGCATTTGTCAGTCATTGTGAGAACAAAATCCAAATGGGCATTTAGTAGCTGATATTGTGACTAACACAAGATATCTGTAAGGTTGTGTTGTATCATTAACTTCATTAATAGTTAATTGTTATTTCCTCTTCTAACTTTTATGTATGATGCAAGTGTTTACACATACACACACACATAATTTTTTTTGTTAGTTGACCACCAGCAAAACAAATATGAGAAACCCAGCCATTCCTCAAACACTATTGACCTTCCTTCTCACTGGAGTCCAATGCCTTCAGGCAAAGTTGTGGATATCATTAAGTTAAAGCCTACAGATCCAGATTTCAAGAGAGTAGCAGGAAGTATTTCATTGGGAAATTTCAGGTTGAGCAATATGAAGGTAGGGAAAAGGTAATAAATGGATGCATGCATCATGACCTATCTTTAAAAATGTTATTGGAATTATGTTTAGTGGTAAATTTACAGGTGAAAAGTAAAATTAGCAAAATCTCTGCATCAAAAGAAAGTACTATTTATATATATATTACTTTTTTAGAATAAAAGTCATGATGTCTGTATTTAAGATATTAAAAATTATCAAATAAGGTCAGTAGAATGGATCGTGCAAGCATCCCCTATTTGACAAATGGTGTTGTTGAATTTTGCCAGAAAAAAATTATAATCAAATTTCTTGTTAAAAAGAAAATGCTTGACCGTTCATGCATGCAATCTTTTGATTAGATGGACACTGTGAACTTAACTCATACAATTTGCATCAGATGAAGAATAGCCAATAAATTAGGTACATTTACAAAGGCAGGAGTAAGGTTATCAAATTTCACATACACCTTGCACCTTATTTAATGTAGGAACTTAAAAAACATACAGAAAGATTTCTATCATAGACTACTATACATATTGTACACTTGTAAAAAACAGTTATCTTGTGATTGGGTTATGAACAAATTCACTCTCAATCACTCTAAATAATGTGGCAACTTTTTTCAGAATCTTTGTACGGGATATGTCACAGGGGAAGCTGCGAGTCAGTACAAGGGCAGATTAACCTAGGAAGGTTTTCAATCATGATCAGTGATTCTCATAGGACAGTTGTTGATCCCTCAATTTGTTTTCTTTAGCTAGTAAAAATACAAAATGGATGATAATTTTAATAATGTCAGCTTTTTGAAAAAGGAATTTACTGTCTTTTATTTAAGAAATCCAAATCTGTAGTTAATTAAAATTTAAAATGTTCAGCTTATCAAAATTAGTATTTTGTAATGCCATACATCTATTCAGATGAGTATATCAAAGAAAATATTGATTTTGAACTTTACTGGTCACAAAAGTTGGTCTAATCATCACCAGGAGATTCCAAGTAACTCCAATTAATTCTGTGGAATAACACTGAAAACCATTTGCTTTACTAAAATGTTATATAATCCATATTTTTCATCATGATGGTTTGAATTTTCACTGTTGATAGAAAAAATATAAATGCAAGTGTACTCTAAAAATATTCTTAAAAACAACATTGAGTTGTCATACCACATTTAAAATGTGTATTTTACCAACCAATGACTCCCTATGAAAAAGCCATCTAATATTTGATATTTAGGTTAGGGTTAGGGGTATGGTTAAGGTTAGGCACTGAAAATACAGCATAAAAAAATGATAGAATCCCTAAACCAAATTACTCAAATTGTCAACTCAAACAAGATAAAAAAAGCTTTATGAAGTTTTGTCTGCAAAATACATTATTTTTGATAAGTTATTTTAAACTTTCATTATACAGATTTACCGCATACAAAACTCAGACTTGTTCCAAAGATTCATGGCTAAGGAAAAGAGTATAAGAGAAAATTTCTCCCAGGGCAGCATAATAGAAAGTGCATTGTGGCATGGGACAAGAGAACATGAAATGGACCATATCAGCAAATATGGTGTTTTGCCTCATTACAACTCCCACATGGGACATCATGGTAATTAATAAAGTCTGCTTCTACCAATATTCTATCAATCTTTTATAAAGAAAATTATCATTTCTCCAGTGTACTTATTTATTTTTATAAATTTTCATCTTCCAAAGGATAGTATTAAAATCTAATACTAGTCATGTTATAAGGAAGGGGTATGGAACTGATTACCCATCGTGCATTTGTATAATGGGTCCATGCAGCAACAAATTAAACTGTCAACAGCAGCATAGTGAGTTTTCACAACTAAAAACTAAACTACACTAGTATATTCCTTTGAATTTTTTATTTATTACAGGAAATGGTGTTTATTTCTCAGTCAGTGCAGAGAAATGCAGTCGGGTATGTCAGGCTGTATATCCTTCAGGCAAGAAGCACATGATAAAATGCCGTGTGCTGACAGGAGAGTACATGAAAGGTAGTGCTTGGATGAAATCTCCACCAGTGAGGCCAGGTTCAGCAGACACATTTGATTCAGTTGTTGACAGCGTTTCAGATCCATCTGTGTTTGTGATCTTCTCTGCTGTCCAAATATATCCAGAATACTGGATAACATTCACTTAAGTTTTAATATGCTGACAGTGATGAAATTTTCATTTGATTATATATATGGACTTAAGGTCTCATGATGATTTATTTTTAAGAAATGAGATAATTGTTTTTCAATTTCCAGCTAGTGATGATACTTTGTTAGTTTAAAAAGTTGATTTTCATTTCCTTTATCTTAATTGCAACTGTCAGTTTTGTTTACATCATTGAGAAACAAGTTAGTTTTGTTAGGTTTAATATTGTTTACTGTTTAAAAATAGCATTTTAGCTGATAATTTAAGTCTTATAAATTTGTGTACTCTCACACCAGGCTAGGATAAAATGGTGTCTAAGGAGGCTTATCTATTTTAATGCTAATCGAAACCTGGGGCAGATAAATTGTTTTATTTGTCAGAGTTTTAACTGGACAAGTGAGAAAACTTGTTAGGGGGTTGATAGGAACATGCTGTAGAGTTTAAAGTTATGACAGCAACTATCGTATAAAGATGAAGCTTATAAGAACATTGTTTGTGTAAGTCTGTTTAAAACAAGTGTGGACAAAAATGTTCGATGTTCCAGTTCAGAACATTTACATACATTTGTCATTTTTGACATTGTGTTCTCGTGAAGACTGCAGGAAGTCACCAAAATTGCATAAGTGATAGTTTATAGACTGGAGTATTTGGAAAAAATAGGTAATTTTTCCCAGTATGGACAAAATAACCAGACTAACTGAATATATATGGATGGATTTCTGACTTGTAGTACGTATTATAACATGTTAAAAGGGGTTATTGGTGATGCATAAACACTTATGTAACAAAGAAATGAAATTTTGCCAATTGTTCCTGTACTTGTACCTAAAATAAATTTTTGAGAAAATTAACATCAATTGGTACGTTTTAAAAATCTATTCAAGATCTTTTTTTTTCAGTCCATCAATATAAAGATTTATGCAGTAATTTATAAGATACACCAATGTGCACATATTTTACCATAAAATTCAGTTAACTTACTGTAAATAGCATTCTCCTAATGTGTAAGAAGGGTTACTTCAGGTAACATATTAATAATTAGATAATAATTTTAATGATAACCTTGCTTTATTCAAATGCCATCCAGCAAATTCAAATGCTTTTTTCAGATCCATTTTATATACAATACATACATTAAAATATCTTGGTGGGTTTTGTTTGTATGCAAGTGTATTATTGTGCCATTATCTTTTGCCTTTCTCCAATTTGCATGTGTAAGAGATTATGTATTCAAATTCTTTTTAAAAGACATTTTAACTGCAGTGAAATTTTAACTAAGTGCAATTGGAAACCATATTTTTACAAAGCTTATTATTATTTTACAATGGAACATTGTAAGGTATGAATATTTTGTGAATGCTGTTTTAAAATTGTTTATTGTCTGAACCTACTGTTATTCAAAGTACTTTCACTTTTATAGAGTGTCATATATTTGATTGTTTACTTCAGCGAAATAGTGGAGTTTTTTTAGACGTTTGTGCATAGATAGACATTTTATGAAGACTAGAATTGCAAAAATTTGAACAACTGCTCGTCGACCATCAATCAATCACATAAGATATAAAGGCTTAAATTTTAGTGAATATTACCAAAGAGACCTTGGTCGGAACAAATTTAAGCATAACTGTGTCAGTGTTTTAACTTAAATTTGTTCATCTCAGAGATGGCAACACAACTGATTCTGCTTATTATTGTACCACCAGCGTTAGCGCTGGCGGTACACATGGTTTGGGTCCCGTCCGGTCCGTTCCGCCGGCTCCGCCGCCATGTTACCGTTACCGCTTCTCCTCCTAGACGGTAAGGGCCTCCATACCCATCTCTTGGATTTAGGTCACCTATAATCTCAACTCGTTCCACGTAAAATTTGGGCTTTGTCGGTATTGGGGTCTAGGTGTGGCACTCATTGCAATACACCCTTGTCCAAAAATGGCAAAATTAAATGCTAATTATCTACCCTACGGAAGCGGTTATGGGAAAATTTTCTACAGACGGCTTTCCAAAAGTCATATGTGTAGATTTCAAATATGCCCTTAGATTTGACCTTTGACCTTTACTTCAAGGTCAAACGGGCCAGAATTTTCAAAAAAATAAATTTTTTTACGAAAAAAAATTTTTTGCCCTGTTATTCAGACACCACACAGACTTAACCAATAATATTATTGGAAAGTGTTACCCTTCAGGTCATCTTTCATCTCCGTAAATTTGGGGTCAATCGGTGCATTTTCACGGGAGTAGCGGCCATAAGATGCCGAAAGTGAAAAATGTCTCTAATTCGGGGACCGTTAATGCTAGAGTCCCATTCTTTTTTGCATTTCGTAGAGCATGTAAAGCCCAACACTGGAGGTGGTCTCCGTTTTTTTGTATTCCAAACGGTTTTCGAGTTACGCTATCAAAAAGTACATATTGGTGGTGAAAGCAAAATGTGCAGTACAGTATAGTCAGGTGGCTAAATCCAAATTTTATCCAGAGCTGTGCAATAGATGATAAAAGCATTTTATCCAGAATTGTGCAAAAGATGATAAAAGCATGAAATTTTCCACGATGAATGACCATTGGGTGTTTGTCAACCCCCTGATCCAAAATAGACAAACACCCAATGGTCATTCATCGTGGAAAGTTTCATGCTTTTATCATCTATTGCACAATTCTGGATAAAATTTGGACTTAGCCACCTGACTACTTTTCACCATGAACTAAACTTTGCATATTTTGCTTCCCTTTTTTCTCCAAAACTGGCAGAGATAGGTCCATAGTTACTATTGAACTTGAATAGGAAGTCATATACTGGCAATCTAAATGTGACCTTAAAATTGACCTTTGACCTACTTTTCACCATGAACTGAACTTTGCAAATTTTGCTTCCCTTTTATCTCCAAAACTGGCAGAGATAGGTCCATAGTTACTATTGAACTTGAATAGGAAGTCATATACTGGCAATCTAAATGTGACCTTAAAATTGACCTTTGACCTACTTTTCACCATGAACTGAACTTTGCAAATTTTGCTTCCCTTTTATCTCCAAAACTGGCAGAGATAGGTCCATAGTTACTATTGAACTTGAATAGGAAGTCATATACTGGCAATCTAAATGTGACCTTAAAATTGACCTTTGACCTACTTTTCACCATGAACTGAACTTTGCAAATTTTGCTTCCCTTTTATCTCCAAAACTGGCAGAGATAGGTCCATAGTTACTATTGAACTTGAATAGGAAGTCATATACTGGCAATCTAAATGTGACCTTAAAATTGACCTTTGACCTACTTTTCACCATGAACTGAACTTTGCAAATTTTGCTTCCCTTTTATCTCCAAAACTGGCAGAGATAGGTCCATAGTTACTATTGAACTTGAATAGGAAGTCATATACTGGCAATCTAAATGTGACCTTAAAATTGACCTTTGACCTACTTTTCACCATGAACTGAACTTTGCAAATTTTGCTTCCCTTTTATCTCCAAAACTGGCAGAGATAGGTCCATAGTTACTATTGAACTTGAATAGGAAGTCATATACTGGCAATCTAAATGTGACCTTGAAATTGACCTTTGACCTACTTTTCACCATGTACTGAACTTTGCAAATTTTGCTTCCCTTTTATCTCCAAAACTGGCAGAGATAGGGCCATAGTTACTATTGAAGTTGAATAGGAAGCCATATGCTGGCAATCTTAATGTGACCTTAAAATTGACCTTTGACCTACTTTTCACCATTAACTGAACTCTGCTAATTTTTTTCTCTTTTAACTCCTAACCTGGCAGAGATAGGTCCATAGTTACTATTGAACTTGAATAGGAAGTCATATACTGGCAATCTTACTGTGAAATTGACCTTTGACCTACCTTTTGATGAACTTAACTTTGATTGTACCATTTTAAGTTATATATTTATTTTTTTTTGCATATTTTGAAAATTCTTGTTGATTGCATTTTTACAGCTTGTCAAGCAAAAGACTGGTGGCTGTGTCCCTTATTTTGTGTATGTGGGGGTCTATATGAATGCGCTTGCTCCAGCTGGTGGTACAATATTCGGAGGCGGTATCGCCTCTCTGATCCTCTAGTTAACATAAATATCCTTTAGTAGAAGTTTACGCCAGAGTTGTTATGGCAAATGGCCTTGTCAATTTTTCACCTAATTATGTTTGCAACAAGAGTAAAGCAGTAAAACAACTGGTACACATAATTACTTAGCATTCAGAATGGCAATAAATTTTCTCTGTGCTTTTTGTTCTGTGTTTATTTTTTCTTTTTACTAAAAATATGAATGTTTTAAATATGAGAAATAGGAGTTCAACTCTAACATATGAAAATATTTTTCAATGGGGGGGGGGGGGGTAGCTGTGAAAAATAAAGTCTAAGAAAGTCATAAGAAAACCTTGTCCCATGATGACAAATTAATAATATATAAAGAATTTTTATAAATCAGCAAAAACAGTATATCTTCACACTTAAACCAGGTTGGAAAATTGGAAACTTGTATTTCAACCAGAGGCAAATCACCCCATTTTGTCAATTTGTGTCACTGTTTTGATTAGACTGTGCCTGTCCTCAATATTTTCCATCAAGAACTATTGCAGTATATTGTCCATATATAAATATAAAAAAGAAAATAAGATGGTTTATCACAATATTTGTGTGTTGTTTGACTCGATACATTTTCATTCTTGAGTACCATGATAATAATTATTTCACAAAATATGCCAATTCTGAATCTCATGCCATGCTAAAATTTATGAATATTGACTTTTCTATCTTTAATTTCTCCCTACTCTCAACATGAGCATAAAGCCATTCTTGCAAGCATCTAATCACACACTTCAAACTTTATACCTAATATATATAACAAAGCAAGGGCAGCCATACATCTATTATGCAAGAAATGTGACTTCATGTTTTTCAGGTTCCTTTGCACTAGCAAGGGGCTGAAAAATTTCATCCTCTCTCATGTGTTGAACAATTAAATAAAATTTATCACAGATTTCATTTGGAATGGGTAGCTGATCAATCATAAATGTGTGACCAGGAGTTTGTCGCAGCAAAAAGTAATTTTTCCTTAATGTTGGATATTCTGTGTAAACCAGCCACACAAAGCTGTACTCTATGTTCAGGTTCTGGTTATCCCAGTCTAACTTAACAGTCACTAGCTGACTATCATCTGGAATGGACTTCAACTTCTTTGGTTCACTCAGGTCCTGACTCTGGTTTGAATGGAATGGTTGGAGCATGGACCTAATTAGAGAAGGACAAGTAATGCGGAGCAAGATCAAAGGATAATCGGCTTAGCACAAGCTCTTCGCGAAACGATGTGCGTTCGGATCACGTGACCTCCCGGACAGGTAGCGAGTATATCGCGGCTGTTGCTGGCTTTATGTGTCATTTGGGCAGGTAGTTCGCAACAACGCGAGTCAATCTTTCAGGTGGATGAGACAATAAAATTATAGAGATGAAGTATAAGTACAATTTGTTCTGTCAATTTTGAAACTATGTGAGAATTTGATATGTTTATTCATGGAGGAATTCAAAATGCCCTATGTTGTAAAGGCAATCTTGTTTGTTGTCGTAAAATGAGCATTCAAAATTGTACAATTGTAGTGTAGTATACTTGTTTTCAACTATGATCCGATTGAAAAACATTTTTAGTGTCAAACTTTTCTCTCTATGTGAGAAATTAGCCTGAGACGCGGCAATAATGAAACCTTCAATCGTGTCTTGAAGTAAAATGACGCAATTCCTCTCCGATTTATTCAACTCGCTGACATCGTTTTAGGTCTGGTATTTTTTACGTACGGTTTAGATAAAGGTTGCATTTACACTGCTGTGTGCTACATGAATAGGTTTATGTTACTTGCTTAAGTGAGCCCGAATTATAGTAATGATAATTAATATTTTTAACATTCAATATGGGCTCTCATTGCAATAGGGCACCACACACGCATTCGTGACCCACAAAAACGCACCTGTGGGTCTTTTAATATTTTTTTTATCAAAGTTGACATTAACACTGCTCTAAAGTATATATATATTTACACATTACCGGCTACGTCTGCTCCAGTCTGAGAATGATATTTTGCCATCATCTGCGTCTGTCGTAGCCGTCGCCGTTGCCGTCGCCGTTGGCGTGCACTTTCACTGTAAACATGATAAGTGAAAAACTGTTTTACCTTTTGGCTTGAAAGTTACAGAACTGATGAATATTTATAATACGCCGGTCAAGTTCGAAAATCAGCATGATCGGGCTATTTGTAGGGAATTTATGCTTTTTTTTCACTTTTTTCAGCATATATGCAATACCGTAAACACGATAAGTGGAAAACCGTTTTACCTTTTGGTTTGAAACTTACAGAACTGATAAATATTCATCATACGCCGGTCAAGTTCGAAAATCAGCATGATCGGGCTATTTGTAGGGAATTTATGCTTTTTTTTCACTTTTTTCAGCAGATATGCAACACCGTAAACACGATAAGTGGAAAACCGTTTTACCTTTTGGTTTGAAAC